GCATGTATAAGTTCGGATGCAGTGCTGGAGTATGAAATTGTGACTATGGCTATGAAAAGCCAATGTATATGGATGTGAGTATATATGTTTGTCTACGAATGCATGGATTCAGATGATTTATTATGAAGGATTAGTTGCAAGAACTATTAGCACATTACGCGAGTAATTCATGTCAAAATTTTATTTGGGTAAATTTTGGTAATTAATGTAACACTAGCTTTAAATTCCGCTGCAAATCTATGAACAATATGATTAGGCAAAACGTACAGGGTAGGGTGTTACACATATATATAAACACGTAAATGATTAGAAGATTTTAGCTTAGAGTTAATTAGTCTAAGATGTATTTTGGGAATTGCACGATTAAATGGTTATTAGGTGGGTCTTACCCGAAAAACAGTTAAGATCCGTCACTTCCTCATTTTGCACCAAAATTCAACGTCCTTCGAACTAAGAGTTCAAATTTTTAGTCCTCTTAAATATTACGGTGGAATTTGACAAATTCCGCCAAGGGTATAATGGTCATTTTGACTCTTGGAAAAACATAAAAGGAAAGTAATCCTAATTCGAGAAGGATTCAGATTTTAAAGATAGACTGGCAGGCCTTCATACGATCTTCAAAGGGTTTTTTTGAAGCCTTCACGATAAGCATTTAATCAACCAATCCCTTGTCTTTGTAGAAGAACATGCATACTTTCATGTGGCACAAAGCTCCTGGATCGACTCTCAACCAATCTTCTCGAATAAGGCTCCAAAGTAGGCTTCACGAACACGTCTCCATACTCAACCGTTTTCAGATAGTTTCCCGGTTTTGAGCAGCATCTTGAGAGCTTTAAAACATGGTGGTATTGACTTGTTCCTGACAAACCAAGCCTATCACCTTGTAGAGAAACATTTGATCTTCAATTCCAAAACTTTTATTTGAATTTCCATCGAGCCAATTGAGAGGAATGACCCTGCAAAGTAGACACCCTAAAACATATAAAACACTTGGACAATTTCCAGGTTGCTTTTCTCCATTTGAGCTTGCTTCTCTATTAGTCAATGGAGACTAGGAAAAATGCTTTTATTTGTGATCATCAGATTGTGAATAATGTTTTGATCATCAAAACGAAAAAACACAAGAAAAGAAATGTTATTTGGACTTGAAGATAGATATGGAGAAAGCCTATATCGGGTTGAATGGCCTTTCTTGCTTGCGGTTTTGAGGAAGATGAGGTTCGGGGAGACTTGGATTACTTGGATTAAGGAGTGTATTTTGACATCATCGTTCTCCATAATGATGAATGGTAAACCATATGGGTTCTTTAAGCCAACTAGGGGCTTGAGGCAGGGAGATCCCTTGTCTCCTCTATTATTTGTGATTTTCATTGAGGGCTTTGCTGCCTTGATTCGTAAGGAGGTGTCAGAGTATAGAATAGAGGTGTTCGGGAGTCTCCGAGTTGCCCGGTTATTTCTCATATGTTCTTTGTTGATTGCTCTTACTTTTTACTTCGTGGATCCATACGAGAATGCCTTCTTCGGTTGTTCCGGGAAGATGTTTTTGGGGTGATAAGTTAGATTCCCTTACAAAAATAGGTAGTGTCGGATCTTTCGGTTCGGCATGAGGATATATTAGGGATGTACACTATTAAATCTCGGTATCACTTGGTGTTTCTGCTGAATCGATAGAGATGGGGTGCTCGATGTAAAATTGAGATGTTTGATGAGTGCTTTTGACAGAATATGTGGAATTCTAATATTCCTCCAAATAAAAAAAAATCCTTGACGGTTCTACGCCGGATTCTCTCTATGATGGATGCTTTGCTCTTGAGAGGCATTCCTTGTGAAGCTAAATGTCTTGTGTGTTAAGCAGAGTCGGAGATGCTTAATCATATTTTTCTTGATTTCATGTTGTCTACTGCTCTATGAAACACATCGGGCTTGTGGTCTGCTCGCATTGGCTTGGAGTAGAGGCATTTAGGCATCTTTTTCAAGAGAATAAGTGAAAAATACCTCGGAGGGCTAGGTGATGTTGGTGGTGGTTATATTCTAACAAATCTGGTAGTCCATAAATTGGGTAGTATTTGAGCTGAAGTTGGTAAAGGTTGCTGATGAGCTTGTGCAACTTTACTAGGTGCAATTGGAGGAATGACAGGCGACTCTCATCACCCCCTTTTTATTGTAAGGAAAAATAGGGGGTTGTACAAAGTGATATCTATGGATCATTTGGCGGTGGATTAAGGTAGACTTTGGTGTTATGTTGATGCGACATGATGTGTAGGTTCCCATATTGAGTGATGCAGTGGAACGATGTTCTCGACACGAGGTGTTCACTACAAGGGGCTTTAGGATTCGTTCCTTACTGAGTTGGTTGCGTTAAGGGATTTTTTTTTCGGTGCTCTCAATAGGGATTGCGAAATATGCTCATTCTTGGGGATGCAAAAGTAGTAATTGACAAGCTCCTAGCCACCTCGATTTCTGACGAGAAGGGTGGAGCAATCTATATCGAGCTAGAACAGTTGCATGTGGAATATCCTGAACTAGAGTTTTGGTTCATTGGTAGACTAATAATAGGGTAGCCCATTTGGTGGCTAGGAAGACCCACTATTTGTCTCCTCCTAGTTTAGTTGACTTTTATTTATGTAGTTGGCTTCGATCCAGTATGAGACGTGATATTTTTTTGTGGTATTGGTAATTCCAATTATCGTTTGACATCAAAAGTTAGATAATTATATATTTTAACTACATAGATGATTACGTAGGGGGTGTTCGACTGTTTAGTCCAGTCCGAATTGAACCGAACTCATAAGAATCGCGATCTTATAGTGAAAGACTTCCAAAAAAGGACCGAACCCACAGCAAATTCGGTCCATTTAGTTTAGCTCAAATATCAATTCACTTCATTTTTCTTGAATATTAATAATTTCAGAGGACTAAGTACATGATCATATTCGCTTTGGTATGGTTCAGTCCAAATATAATTTTTTCAAGTGTAGTTCGGTATGGATCAAACCATTGCACATCCTTACTTGTAGGAGTGAAAATTGGTACGTAAAAATATACCACTACCAAATGCCGAATTATAACATTGAATCAATATGAATCCTAAAATAAATCTAGTTAATGTAATTTAATTTTGTAGAAAAAGAATTTAAAATCTGGTTAAAGCGAAAGATATGTTACGTTACAAATAATGAATATGTTTATGATTAAGGCTATTTAAGTTATTTATCATATTCTTTCCACATAATTTTTTTTTGCCAAAATATTATTTTCACATACTTACTATTATATATTAATAAAATAATATATCTATCACACTTCTCAATATATTTTCCCCGTACAACTTCTTATTTCATTCTCTGATAAAACACAATTTTTCTATACCATTTTTCGTTCCCCGGAATTGTCCTTCCCTCTCTCGAAAACATAGTGTAAATGAGTAATGAAATTATATTACCAAAAAATAATTATTTTTACCTGTCACAAAGTATGTGGCAAAACGCTAGGATAAGGCTAGCGTACGCTCGTCTTATTTTCTTATATAGACCATGAACTAATCAGAATTTGAGAATTATAAAATATTCTAACTTCAAATGGGTAAACATGCCAGTACTCAATTATCTAACCCTAACCATAAGATTTATTTAATCTCAAAATGAAAATCAACGTTTCTGCTTCGTCGAAACTATTCAAGTACAAATAATAGGTGTGAACACATGCGTATAGTGTATGCTAGCCTTAATAAAAAAAACTAATTTATATGATAAAATTTGTCTTCAAGGAGAGAGGCCTAGAGAGAGAGTAGGGCTGGGAAAATATACCAAACGTTTTGAAAAACTATGGTCCAGACTGGACCGTATACCGTTAAGTATGGTCTGGTCCATGATCTGTATTATATGATATTTTGATTTGGGTAAATACAATTTAATATCCAAACTTTTCATTTTAAACAATATAATAGCCAAACTTTTTCGAAAACAATCTAATATCCAAATCGTCAACTTTCCGTCCGTTTGACCGTTAGTTGACACTTCAAAAAAGCTTTGTTTAGGGGAAATTGTCACAATACAGCTTTGTTTTCTTGTTTTGGTATTACAGATGACTGAATATTTAGATATTCTATACCATCATGCTGGAGTCATGGACTTCTCGGGTTTGGAACCATGATATGTTGGTGGTTTTTCAAAGAAGATATCGATAGATATTGATGAAGTGTCCTACTTCGAACTTGATGAAGTGTCAACTAATGGTTAAACGGACGGAAAGTTGACGATTTGGATATGAAATTATTTTCGAAAAGGTTTGGCTATTATATTGTTTAAAATGAAAAGTTTGGATATAAAATTGTATTTACCCTTTTGATTTCTTGGTCAGGTCTGATCTAGACCGCGGTTTACCGGACGAAACCGTAGACCCTGCCAACTTCTCAATACGTGTTAACAACTCACTCGACCACTATTCCAATTCGCACAAGGATACCCAAGTCCCCACCGTTTCACAACCTATGAGAAAGTCATAGGTATATTTAAGTTTCTTAAAATAATTTTTAATTAATCTATAAAATTATTAAGGCTTTTTATCACAATAATTGTCGTGTTACCCACCCTTCCACCGGCATGTAGAAACGTCCCTACAAGGCTTCAAAAAAACTCAAAACGAATTAACAGGTTTCAAAGAAGATGGAAATAAGTGGGTGACATAATTGGCATTAGTGAATTACAATGAAACAAATGAAAAAGACAAAAAAAAAGCCGTATTGTTTCCCAAAAGACAAAATATGGTGGGCCCTGGTTCGATGTTTCCAGAGCAGTGACTGAAATCACGATGAAATAAAGCAAAGAAACGACGGAAAATGCAGCAATGTTTCACAGAATAAGATAAAAAAGAAAATGCAATATAATTCAGCCCTGCAATGGCTAGAACAGAGATCGTATGATCGAAAAGAACTGACCGATTTCTAGGCTCCTTGGTTACTATAAGTGTCCATTTTTATATTTACCGACTGGGCATTCGGGATGCACGGGATGTCGACGACCGGCAAAGGAACTCCGGCCAGAATCGTTACGATTCTACTTCTGATACTGTCTGTCTTCTCTGTTTCTCTGGCCTACCAGCCGGGAGACAGAGTCCCGATGAGCAAGATGGGACAATACCACTGTGCACGTTCTCTGCTTTCCCACCTCCTTCCTAGTTATGTTCTTTGATTGCCCCCGGCTGTCGCTTGACGGCTATATCTATCTAATTCGTTTCCTGAACATTTTTTCAGTTGAGGACCATGTGGCACGATATGATCGCAAGAAGCTGTCCCATATTTGGCGTTAACCGCGAGGTGAGCTAGCTCTGTGTTTTAGCGCGTCGAATTGGGACCTTCCATGGAGTTAATTTCTTGTTGTAGCTGGCTGACAAGTGATTGAAACTTTTCACGGCGCAGGTTTTGGTTGGGATTGCAGAGCCCACAGGTTACACGGGTGCAGATCCTTACAAGATGTGAGAAAAGTTTGTCCCATACCTTTTATATATACTACTATACCCCCTTTGTTCGTCTGCCGAACCTCAAGAATTTTTTCCGCTTTGTTACATACATGCATGTTGGTTTTGGAATTCAGATCTTTCCAAGTTGGAAGGGAAAAGATTCAAACTCCGTGGCTGTTTCTGATAAACAGGAAAAGTTCAGAGGTTCCAATGATCGACGTGCATTTGGTAAGGCCATTTTTTTACTTCCTCGCGAGCTAGTCTGTCATTAGATATTACAATTTGTGTTGCTTGCTTATAGAAACCTTTGAAGGATCATAGCAAAGTTCCTACTTGGAAGTAGGGCTGAAAATTACACTAACTCGTCACTCTCCCGTTCTTGATCCTGTCTGATCCGTTCTTGAAAGGTCAAAATGTATAACTGTTCCGTCCAGTCGCTGTCTCCTTCTTGACCCTGTCTGACCCTCAAGGGATGAGACGGGTTGGGACGGGCCGGGTCAGTGGATCGACCCTAATTTGCACACTATTTTTTTTTACAAATTACGTTTTGGTATCCAAAATTATTTGTTCTTACAATTTAGTACCTTTTTTTTTACAAATAAGTCCTTAAATTTTGGTGGTAAAATTACATTTTGGTACACAATATTTTTTATTTTTGCAATTTAGTACCTAAACTGATCCTATAGACAAACTGACCCATCGCAACCCTCGGGGACGAGACAAGTCGGGACGGATCAGTGAGTTCTTTGGGTCAAACTTACAACCTACTTTGCTCAATACAAAAATGACGCAGCAATATTGTTGCTTGCTTTCTTGGTTGTCTGCTTTGCTTTTTGGACGCAGAGGTATAAAGGTGGTGATTTGCAAGGGGTCAGTGCTGAAGTTGTAGATATGCCTCGTTACTGTATGTTACAACCTTCTGCGCTTTCTATACCATGCATCCTTATTTTTGTTCTTATCCAAAGTGGTTGTCATGTGGGTGTTAATACTTTCGCATAATACTAACGGCAACCTGTTGGAGTTTATGGTGCTCGATCTTCTCCAATCGTACATACAGTCACTGTGTTCCCCATGTTTCGGACTTTAACAGACGTGGACATATACCCAGGCATTCTTCACCAATATTGGGATCCTCACCATTGGCCCAAGCATGTTCTCCTTATATACAATTGGTTAGTCGTCTCGTCTATCACGCTCTCTTGCCTTGTCTACTGTCCTGGCTGTTTACCACTAAAAAATAACTTAATACCACATTGATTATTTTCAAGGAGTGGTAGTGATTTATAAGGCCAGCTCAACATTAATGATTAAAAGAGATTGTTGGGCCTTGTTGGGTTGGGTTTTTGGGCCTAAGTGGCCAAACCCCTTCTCCTCCATACGATGGCCAAACCCCTTCTCCTCTATACGATGGCCGACCCGTCTCCGTGACCCCATAGCCGGACGATGCCTCCACCCCTTGGTATGAAATTTGACTAAGTGTTGAGACCCACAGCACAAGGGGGGTCATGCATGACACCGTCCAAGGGGGTCAAGCACAAGGGGGGTCATGCATGACACCGCCCAAGGGGGTCAAGCACAAAGGGGGTCGTGCATGATATCGTCCAAGGGGGTCATCACTAGTACCCCTAGCTGTGGTGGTAAAGAGAGCCAAAATTTGGCTAAGTGTTGAGACCCACAGCACAAGGGGGGTCATGCATGACACCGTCCAAAGGGGGTCAAGCACAAGGGGGGTCATGCATGACACCGCCCAAGGGGGTCAAGCACAAAGGGGGTCGTGCATGATATCGTCCAAGGGGGTCATCGCTAGTACCCCTAGCTGTAGTGGTAAAGAGAGCCAAAATTTGGCTAAGTGTTGAGACCCACAGCACAAGGGGGGTCATGCATGACACCGCCCAAGGGGGGTCAAGCACAAGGGGGGTCATGTAGGATCTCGTCCAAGGGGGTCTCGTCTAAGGGTGTCAAACATGATGTCGAGGTGAGAATTAGCTAAGTATGGAGATCCAACCAAGGGTGTCAAGCATGACACCGTCCGATGGGTGCCAAACGACCGGGTACCAAGCCGGGTACCAAATAGGAGACCATCCGTGCTGAGACAAAATCGGCTGAGCATGGGGCAAGAGGGTACCATGCCGGCAAGGAGGGCTTGGTACCAAGACATTGAATTGGGCTAAGTATAGAGCCAAAGGGGTATCAAGCCGAAAAGGCATGCTTGATACTAAAATACATGAAAATTGGTTAAGTATGGAATCACATGGCCATAGCAAGAGGGTACCAAGCCGACAAGGCATGGCTTGGTACCAAGACATGAAAAGCATGAATTTGGCTAAGTATGAAGCCAACGGGGTCGGCAAGACAGGCTTGGCAGCCAAGCAAAGCGACAGGATACCATGACCCCAAGGGGGGTACCAAGCCGCAGGGGGTAACTTATCAACTTGATGAGGCTACAAAGACTAAGTATGGAGACCAAGCCCCCAGGATTGGTGTCATGAGATGGTAGCGGTCTCAAGACGACAAGAGTGGGGAGTCATCAAGCAGCCGAGGGTGCGATCAAGACTTCATCAGGGAGGCTAAGCAAAGAACCTCAACCCCATCCAGTCATGACAGGGCGACGAGACGAGACCCCCAAGGCGACGGTTACCAACTAGTCACCAAGGCAGCGACAAGCAGCCCCTAAGGCGGTTGGAGCAAAAGGCCAGCTAGCAGTTACTACGACGGTTACAAGGGATGACTATAAATAGGAGAAACGAAGACGAAGCAAGGGTTCCACAACCGACCATTTGACACACTATGTCAAACTTTTATCTTTTCTCTGCAAATTAGCCCTAGCCTTAGTTTTCGGAGCTCTCACTGAACCTCCATAGGAGTAGGTGTAATTAACTTAGCTTGTTTCCAAAAAACCATCAAAAACATCAAACACCCTCGTTCGAACATTGTTCGGAGAGGAGTGAACCGTGTTTAGAATCGTTGTTCAAGAAGTCAAAGGTGCATTCATTGTGTTCAAACACAAGTTTTTCCTCGCCGGAAAACAAATTGGCACACCCGGTGGGACAACTGTGTGTTTGATTCGATGGCTCCTAGGCGAAAGAATCAGGAAAGTGATACTCCGCCAGGGTTTGTGGAGGATCAAGTGGCCAACATTGAACATGGCCGGTTAGCTGAAGCGGTTTCCGGTGAGAATGACGGTGGGGAAGACTTGCAGCCGCCGGCACCAAACTCCAACGTTGAGTTAGTTGCTGCCATTGGGTCACTTCGCCAATTCATGGCGGAAGCTTTGGCTGGCAACACTCTTTAGGTAAATTCTCAAATTGATTGTCTTAACTCCTGTGTAGATAGGCGTTTAAGTCAACTTTTTGAAATTGTAACTAAAAATAGGAATGATTTTGATGAGTTTAGGAGAATTTTGACCACACTAGTGGTACAATCACGAGCTTTGCCAATTGATGGCACAAGTTCAACTCCAAACAATGCAAATTTTTCTCCTGTCGGCGGCCGGAATGGCCAACAACGGCAAGATAACCTACCTCCGCCGGTGACAAGCCAACCAACCTCTCACCACGTGAATCGCGGCGAGATTCCCGCCACCACTCAAGTGGAGGCTTCAGTTAACGTGGGAGTTGGGGAATTTCCCCCACGTGGCGAAAATTTTGCCACTACGTTCAACACCCATGTTGAACAACCGCCATCCATCCCGGTGGCGAGACCCTACGTAGCTCCTCCTAACATGGGTGGGGGAGGAAGGTTAGGTGTTGGGGATCAAGTTCCTCCACGTGCTTACCCAGCACCCATACCACCCCAAGTCCATGGGCATGGTGTGGACCCCATGGGGTTCGTACCGCCAGGGGGGCAAGGGGGGCATGATGCTAATGCCCTAAGGGATCAGGTGGCTCAACTCCTTACCGAGCAGTTTGGTTTAGGAGTAAGGCCCACCATGCCACCTGTGTACCGTAAGCCTTACCCGGAATGGGTAGATAGGCTATACCCATTCCCAAGAGGGTTTAGGGTGCCCGAGTTTGCCACCTTCACGGGTACTGGTGACCAGTCCACTGTTGAACATGTGGGACGGTTTACTGTCCAATGTGGGGACGTGGGAGACTTTGTCAAGCTAAGACTTTTTGGCAACTCGTTGACAGGGCCAGCTTTTGCATGGTATGTCAACTTGCGGTCTAACTCTGTCCAAACTTGGCAACAGATGGAACAAATCTTCCATGCCCAGTTCTATAGATCTGAGCCTGAGGTCTCAATGGCTGACTTGGCACGCATGCGCCAGCAGCCAGGGGAGTCGGTCGAGCATTTTTTGACTAACTTCAAGAATGCTCGTAACCGTTGCTTTGTCAACTTGACAGAGAGGGAATTTGTCAAGCTTGCTCAAGGGGGCTTGAGTTTTGAGTTAAGGAAGAAATTCCGAGACAAGGAGTTCTCGGACTTGTTCCAACTCATGTCTTGTGCTGTGAGATATGAGTCTCTTCTCCAAGAAGAGGAGAATAGGAGGAGTGCATCAAGGGGGCAATACTTACCCTCAATTAACTACCCTGTCAACCAGGTCGGCCAAGAGGCCATTGAGGTGGAAGTAGACCTGGCTGAGTTAGCTCCGGGGAAGCCATATGTTTGTGCTTCTTTGACTAAGGCTGAAAACGAGCCACAAGGGGGTAGACCCAATAGGGCCCCCATCCAGCCACGCAAGTACTCCTTTGATGTCTCGAAGGCTGACTTGATTGTTGACCAACTCTACAAGGATGGTCAGATCAAGTTAACTGGGGGGCATAACATACCACCACCCGAGAAATTAAAAGGAAAGAAGTATTGTAAGTGGCATAACAGCATGTCACATGCCACTGACTCATGTGCGATTTTCCGTAATATCTTGCAGGATGCTATTGAGAAGGGGCGTATCAAGTTCCTGGAACCAAAGAAGGATGTCATGTTGGTGGATACTGACCCATTTCCCAACGTGGTAGGCATCAACATGGTTAACCCGGATCTCTCCAAAATTGAGTTGCCCCGTTTCAAGTTGGTGTTGGATACAACGCCACCTCAACATGGGAGCTCCAATGTCACTCATGAACAAGGGAGCTCGTCAGGTACAAAGCAGGCTAGCCCGGCCGCAATGATGACAGATGAAATTGAGAAGTTGTGTGCTCAGTGCAAGAAGAGCCTCAAACTTGATGAGGCGAGGCCTTCCGCCCACCAAAGACTTGGCCCACCCAACAGGCCGAGATACCCTTCTTATCAGATACAAGTGGAGGGGGTCGTCCAGCCAGCTTGGGGGCAACGAAGGCAGTGGATAGCACACGGAATTCCTTCCATGCGAAGTCCTCCCGTTAGAAGTCCTCCCGTTAGAATTCCTCCCGCGAGAACTTTTAAGATGCCCAATGTGCCACAAGGAGGGTGGCATACTTATGACATGCGTCGTCAACAACCAGTAGCCATTGGGGGGATGACAAGGACTCAAAGGAGGAGATTCCTACGTAAGAATGCCGAAGCACGGCAGGGGAGGTACCCAGTCATACTTGGTGCGACGATCAGACCACCACCACAGAATGATTTCGTTCCACCAAATATCGAGGTGGACAACTCAATGACTACCGGGCTCAAGGTGACAATGACTGACAAAGGGAAGCAAGTCCAAGTTCAAGGTGATGTCAAAGTTCATAAAGGGGTTGAGGATGACTTCCAGGAAGAAGGAGGTGAATATGAAGATGAGTATGCTGAAGATGACATGCTAGAAGATGAGCATCCCAATCCCAAATTTGATAGAAGCAACAAGGATGATGAAGGAGATGACCAAGGACCCCCTTTGACAATCCAGTTTGGAAGTTTGCCGCCAGTGGTGGTCACAAACTACATACTACCTATGGTCTTCCAATTCAATGAGGAAGACCGGGATAGATATGTGGAGGAAGAAGAGGTAATAGAAGAGGCCGAAGATACAGACGGGTCCGTTGCTGAGTTGACCGAGGCATTTGCTCGTTTGGAAGCAAGTGATGAGCCATGGGGTGTTAGGATGGCTCGATTGGGAAGTAGAATCGATCTAGCTGCTGAGGTGGCGAGACAAGGAAAGAGTTCTCAGAAAATTTTGAAGGAGCTCCATGAAGCAGGCCATAAGAGTGTTGGTTTACTTGGTGAAGATGATGGGAGATACCCTTTTTATGTGTTATACCAAGGTCCTGAAGCT